CCACTTCCGTCTTTTTTCTTTTTGCTTATGTGGTGCTGAGGAATCGAACCCAGGGCCTCATGCATGCAAGGCAAGCGCTCTACCACTGAGCCACCTTCCCAGCATCCAGATGGACTCTTAACTGCCTCACTCTTAGACTTTGGCTGACTCACATAAAGTGACAGGGTTTTTTTTCTGAATGTCCAGATCCAGAAACAGTCTATTTACTTGCTTGCCCACAGCGGCAGGACTGTGGTCCTGCTGAGTAGGAAGGTACTTGTACATTTCAGCACGTCCTGTCTAGAGAATGGCTAGCACTCCAAGTGTCCACACCGAAGTCTTAGTTACTCTGGTGAGGCTGAAGTTAAGGTTGCCTACAGCATCCGGTCTGTAGGTGTCTGCCTCAGTCCAAGCCTTAAGATGTTCGGCTGGAATGATGTGTTTCCCATCTATCAGTCAGTCCTGTTAATGGGACAGATTTTCTCTAGGATTGCAGTCTCCTGGATCTTGCTGTCCTGGGAGGGGAGGAGAGGTAGCTGCTCTTCAAGCTGTGCTCAGCAGCCTGAACTACTTTTGCTCAAGGCTAGCCCTCTACCACTTGAGCCACAGCACCACTACTGGCTTTTTCTGTGTATGTGGTACTGAGGAATCAAACCCAAGGCTTCATGCATGCTAGGTAAGCACTCTACCACTAAGCCACATTCCCAGCCCCTAACTTGAGCTTTTTTTTTTTTTCGGTTGGTCATGGGGCTTGAACTCTGGACCAGGGCACTGTCCCCTCAGTTCTTCAGCTCAAGGCGGGCACTCTACCACTTGAGCCACAGTGCCACTTCTGGTTTTCTGGTGGTTTATTGGAGATAAGAGTCTCATGGACGGGCTGGCTTTGAACTGTAATCCTCAGATCTCAGCCTCTTTAGTAGCTAGGATTACAGGCATGAGCCACCAGCTTCTGTCTTACCTTTATTCTTTAGAGGCAGTTGAGGGTATAAATTCTCAATTAGAGATCATTTTCTCTCACACTTCACCCTGTTGTCACTTCAGCCTTATTCACCTTCTAATGTTGGAGACGGTTCACTTCCATTCTCACTCTCAAATCTTTGATTTGTCTCTGGAAACATTCGGGAACTTCTCTTACACCTAGATCTGAAATTTTCTCTCTCTCCTTCCCTCCCTTTTTCTCTTTCCTTTCCTTCTTTCCTTCCCTTCCCTTCCCTCCCCTCCCCTCCCTTCTTCTCCCTTCCCCTCCCCTCCCCTCCCCTCTCCTCTCCTCTCCCTTCCCTTCCCTTTATCCTTCCCCTCCCTTCCTCCTACCCCTTCCCCCCTCCCCCTTTCCACCCCTTCCCTCTTTCCTCTTTCCCTTTCTTTTTTCTTTTCCTTTTCCTTGATGTATATCCCAGGCTGATCACAAACTCAGCTCTCCCATCTTGCCCTTCCAAGTATCTAAGATTACAGGCATGTGTCAACCACACCCTGTGAATTTCTAAAGTTTCTACTATCATTTTCTTAAAAATCCCCAAGACTTCCTTTCTTCATTCCTTAAGAGGGAAGTGTTTTCACTCCATCAACACATGGCAAAATCTCCCCAAGGACTTTCCCTTTACTTCTGCATCTGTCTTCAGTGCATGTCAGTTCTGCACTGAATGTTTCTTTTGCTGCCGGCCACCCTGGCATGTGTGGTGGGCACTGGAGCGACCTTGACAGGCCCCTGGGAGTACGGCGCAGTGCGCAGCCATGTGACCACCTGTGGTAGGGACGCTATATATGGGGGACCCCTCCCCTCAGTCACTTCCTCAGGGGACATAGGCTTACATGTGCATGCAGGAGTGGGGTCCCGTTTACCTTGGCTGTGGGGGAGCCAGCTCCTCCCTGTGCTCAGCCCAGAGCTCAACAGCCCTCCAGGTTCATGCTACTCCACCTGACACTGCAGTGTTGGGGTCCCCTTGGTGGCGTCTTTGTTGATATGGCCAGGAATAGGACAAAACAGCAAGGGCACGGCCCAAGTTAGTTCCAGTGTGTCCATCCAGACTCTGTCCGCCCTCTTCCTCCTCCTCCCCCTCCTCCTCCTCCTCCCCCCCCCCCCTCAGAACTGACAGCCTGTGGCACCTGACGCTGTGCTGGGAGGGCTTAGGCTTGAGCAGAGAGGGGTATGCCATTTCCAGCACCCCAGGTCTCAGCACCCCAAGCCTGGGTGGCCCCCTGTCCACCTCTGCCCTACTGTGTGTACAGATCCGTGCACTGTCATTGTGCCTTGGTCACAGGCTGGTGGCCTGTCCCCTCTGACCTGCCTTCTTCCACAGGGTTGCTGGACCTGGAAGATGACGGAGACCTGATCACCGTGGAGTTTGATGACGGAGACACGGGCAGGATCCCACTCTCCCACATCCGCCTCCTGCCGCCAGACTACAAGATCCAGTGTGAGTGATGGGGTCCCCCAGCTGGCTGGCTGACCGCTTGGTCGCCTGATGCCCTCCCCTGCTTCTGGGTTCTTGATTGTGCTGTTTGCATCAGAACCCACGGGAGACAGTAGAGAATGGACAGGAACCCCATAGCAGTCTGGGGTGGTCAGCTTTGGGGGCTCGCAGTGATCCTTGAGGGCAGCCACAGGCCCAGCTGGTCTGGGCCAAGGGAGGCTACCCCAATGTTACTAAAGTTTTATTGTATTATTATTGGGGTTTGGACTCAGGGCTTGCATTTGCTAGATAGGTGCTTTACCACTTAAGCCATGCCTCCAGTCCTGTGTTAGTTGTTTTTCATATAGAGTCTCACATTTTTTGCCTGGGCCAGCCTATGATGACCTACCTCCTCTCCCTACATAGCTGGAATGTCAAAGTGTATACCACCGTGCCTAGCTTGTTTTTGAGATACAGTCTCACTAACTTGGCCTAGGATGACCTTAGAGGTAATTTCTCTGCCTCCCTTGTAGCTGGGATTACAGGCATCCATGACCATGCCTGCCCTTAGTCAAGTGTTATTTTTAAAGGGCTGGGGATGTGGTCAAGTGCTTAGCTATAATGCGCAGGACTGCAGGGGGGAAAAAGTGTATTTATCCATAGCTTCAAGTTTTGTATGGCATGGCCTTTTTTTTTTTTTTTTTTTGAGTCCGGTCATGGGGCCTGAACTCTGGGCCTGGGCGCTGTCCCCCAGCTCTTCAGCACAAGGCTAGTTCTACTACTTGAGCCATAGGGCCACTTCCGGCTTTTTTTCTTTTTGCTTATATGGTGCTAGGGAATCGAACCCAGGGCCTCATGCATGCAAGGCAAGCGCTCTACCACTGAGCCACCTTCCCAGCCCCATGACATGGCCTTCTTGACGTGGCCTGTGAGGATGGAACTGCTGTCTCCTTTGCCCAGTGGTGCACCTGGGGCTCAGAGGTTAATGAGTCTCCAGAAGCAGAGCCAGCATGGCCCACATTGTGCCTGACTAATAACATGCTCGGTCTTGTGCACTTCCTAAGTGGACCGCTGAGCTCAGGCCGGCCCCTGCGTCCAGCTGTTCAGCTTCCCAGCTGCAGTAACCATCATCCAGGGTCTGTGCCCCCCCCTGGGATGCACAGCTCCAAGTTGCCATTCTGGATGCTGGCCTGGGAGCTAGGCCTGGGAAACTCGGGCCTGAGTTGTCTGCCCTGTGCTCCCCCTGCAGGTGCGGAGCCCTCCCCTGCCCTTCTGGTGCCCAGCGCCAAGCGCCGCAGCCGCAAAACCAGCAAGGACACCAGGGAGGCCAAAGAGGGCGCCGGGACGGGCTCGGAGGAGCCAGGAGCTAAGGCGCGAGGGCGCGGGCGGAAACCCAGTGCCAAGGCCAAGAGTGGTGAGCTGGCCCAGGCCTGGGGCGTTCAGGTGATCAGCCCCCATCTCTGTGGAGCTGCGCCCCACTGGCCGCTTCTGCTCTGGCTGCCCAGGGAGGCGAGCAGAGCTGCAGGCTAGAGCTGGGGTTTGGCCCCGTGAGTCACTCAAGAATCCAGAGAAAGGTGCCAGGACCATCACAGCACCTACTTTGGGGCCAGTATATATGGGATGGCTGCTACAGCAGAGCTGCTCAGCCCCCACACAGCACAACACCCAAATCCCACCAGGGGGTCATCAGGGTTTTCTTCTGGGGATTGAACTCGCAGTCAACTACTAGAGCATGATTTGACCTTGGCTCGCCTCAAACCACAATCCTCCTATCTCTGCCTCCCAAATAGCTAGGATTAAAGTTGTGCATCACCACACCTGTCTACAACCAGAGCTTTCCCAGCTTCTCTTCCACCAGGACGGCCCTGCCAGCCATCTGTTCTCTTCTCTCTTCTAGACAGAGCGGCTGCCCTGGAGGAGGGGACTCCCAAGGAGGAAGGCCCCAGCACCCCCTTGGCCCTGGAGCCAATCAACACCCCAAGCTCCAAGAAGAGTGCCCCAGAACCTGTGGACAAGCGGGCCAAGGCCCCGAAGGCTCGCCCACCACCTCCGCAGCCCAGCCCTGCTCCGCCCACCTTTGCCAGTTGCCCAGCTCCTGAGCCCTTTGGAGAGCTGCCGGCACCTGCCGCAGCCCTGGCCCCGGCTCCGCTGGTTACCATGCCCGCCACCCGCCCAAAGCCCAAAAAGACTCGCGCTACCGAGGAGTCGGGCACCAAGGGCCCCCGGAGGCCAGGGGAGGAGGCCAAGCTGCTCGTCAAACTGGACCACGAGGGGGTCACGTCCCCTAAAAGCAAGAAGGCCAAAGAGGCCCTGCTTCTGCGGGAAGACCCGGGGTCTGGGGCCTGGCAGGAGCCCAAGGGCCTGCTAAGCCTGGCCAGCTATACCCCAGCAGCAGGCAGTGGAGAGCCCAAGGCGGCCTGGCCCAAAGCCCTGGAGGGGGACCTCACCCAAGAGCCCGGGCCAGGGCTCCCCCTGGAGGACCCTCAGACTCCCAAGAGCCCAGACAAGACCCAGGCTGAGCAGGATGGGGCTGAGGAGTCAGAGACAAACAGCAGCAGCAGCAGCAGCAGCAGTAGCAGCAGCAGCAGCAGCGGCAGCAGCTCAGAGACAGAGGGCGAAGAGGATGGAGACAAAACTGGGGAGGAGGGCCGGGGCGCCGGGGGCCGGCACTGCAGCGCATCCAGCTCCAGAGCCTCCTCCCCAGCCTCGTCCTCCTCCTCGTCCTCATCTTCATCTTCTTCCTCCTCCTCCTCTTCATCCTCCTCTTCCTCTTCCTCTTCTTCCTCCTCCTCCTCTTCCTCCTCCTCTTCGTCCTCTTCGTCGTCCTCCTCCTCCTCTTCCTCTTCCTCCTCCACCACAGACGAGGACTCATCCTGCAGCTCAGATGACGAGGCGGCGCCTGTGCCCTCAGCCAGCCCCTCCACCCCGCCCACCCTGCCCACCAAGGTGGCCAAGCCAGCCAACAAGGCCCGCTCTTCGGCCCACTCCCCGGGCAAGAAGGCACCTGCTGCCCAGCCCCCCGTCCCACCACCCCAGCCCTCGCCACCCAAGGCCCAGGCTGGGGCTGGGGCCAAGAGCCGACCCAAGAAGAGAGAGGGCGTCCACCTGCCCACCACCAAGGAGCTGGCCAAGCGCCAGCGCCTGCCATCTGTAGAGAACAGGCCCAAGATTGCCGCCTTCTTACCCGCCCGGCAGCTCTGGAAGTGGTTCGGCAAGCCCACCCAGGTGACGGCTCGGGCTCCAGGGTGCTGTCCCTGCCAGACCTCCCCTCATAGCCACTCGGGGTGCGGGAAGCTGATGGCTTTAGAGGCCATCCTCCCCTTGCTAAGGCTTGCTAGCTGAAGCCCAGGGTCCAGTCTCGGCCAGCCCACCCTCAGCTAACAGCTCAGTAGGGCCTAAAAGGCAGTTTTGGAGGGCTGGGGTTGTGATCCCCACACCCTGACAATTGGGGGGTTGGCCTTCCGAGGAGCCCTGCCCGCCATGTAGGGCTGTCTGTTCCCACACACTTAATGCATACTCACGTGTGTGTTCGCGGTGCACTCCCACACGTGGGTTTGTAAAATGAACCAATATGGTGTGTGTGAGTGGCTACCCTGGTTTGCCCTGGCACCTAGAGTTTTCATCATACAATCTGTTTTGGGGAGCTAGGCCTTTTTTTTTTTTTTTTTGGTTCAAGTCCTGGGGGCTAGAGTTAAGGCCCGGGCGCTGTCCTGGCTTTTTTTTTTTCCCCCTAAGGCTGGTACTCTACCACTTGAGCCACAGCTCCACGTAGGGCTTTTTGTTGTTTAATTGGAAATAGGGGTTTTGCAGACATTCCATGACCCTCAGATCTCAGCCTCCTGAGTAGATAGGATTTATAGGCATAAGCCACTGGCACTTGGTATTTTAGCCTCACACCGTTCAAGGTGCTGTAAGTTGGAGCTGGGCAGTGAGTAGCAGTGTCCAGAATGCTGGACACTGGCTTTGTAATGGCGCCAGCATCTGCCTATGTGAGGCAGAGGGACACGGGGCTCTGTCCACACTTGATGAGCTGGGCCTGCGCAGTATAGCTTATGCCTCATGCCCTGCCTCTCCTGGATCTCACTCCCATGCCCACAATTGAGGGTTGCAGGCAGCCAGCCTGGCTTTGGAGGGTGCTGGCACCCAGTGAGGGACAGTACTGGGCCCCTGCCAGCCTGCAGTGAACGTGTGCCCATCAGGCCTGGAACAGCGGACTCTGCTGGTCCCAGTAAGAGTCCTGCAGAATCCTGCTGATAATTCCCAGGACAGGGAGGTGAAGTCCCCCTTAGCTACAGAGCCCCTTGATGCTCGCAGAGCTCCACACGTCAGCGAGGTAAAAGGAGTATGCTGATTAGCTTTTTGTCTATAAACAAAATCTATGACAGGCCGGGCACTGGTGGCTCACACCTGTAATCCTAGCTACTTGGGAGGCTGAGAGCTGAGGATCATGATTCAAAGCCAGCCTGGGCAGGAAAGTCCATGAGACTCTTATCTCCAATAAACTACCCGAAAACCGGAAGTGACTCTGTGGCTCAAGTGGTAGAGCACTTGCCTTGAGCTCAAGAGCTGAGGGACACAGTGCCCCGGCCCAGAGTTCAAACCCCATGACCCACAGAAACAAACAAAAAAAACCTTTGACATAATCAATAAGGGGAAAAAAGGTTTAATTTTACTTTCAGTTTTGGAGATTTCAGTCCATGGTTATTTGGGTCTGTTACTTTGGATTTCTGCTCTACCAGTCTGTCTCACCTCAGTGTTTGGGAAAGAGAAGGGAAAAGACCAAGGTCCCTCCCCTCCCAAGGACATGCCCACAATGACATACTTCACGCCCCAATGATTGATTTCCTCCCACTAGGCCCTGCCTCTTAAAGATTCCACCGCTTGCCAGTGAGGTCACCTGCTAGCATCCAAGCTTTGGGGACACATTCTAGACCCAAACTTTTAACAAGGGATTTCTCCAGTTGGAGCCAAGACAACACTCCCCTCCCCTCCCCTCCCCTCCCCTCCCCCCCTTCCCCACAGACTCCCCTGCATGGCATACAGTGGCCAGGAGTTGGGTTCCAGGAGGCCACGGCTCCCTGGGCTGGGCCTGGCCGCTGACTGGCACCCCTCCCCTCCCCCTCTCAGCGGCGCGGCATGAAGGGCAAGGCCCGCAAGCTGTTCTACAAGGCCATCGTCCGTGGCAAGGAGATGATCCGCATCGGGGACTGTGCTGTGTTCCTGTCAGCCGGCCGGCCCAACCTGCCCTACATCGGCCGCATCCAGAGCATGTGGGAGTCATGGGGCAACAACATGGTGGTTCGTGTCAAGTGGTTCTACCACCCTGAGGAGACCAGCCCAGGCAAGCAGTTCCACGAGGGCCAGGTGAGTGTCCACCGCCGGGGATGCTTTGGGGTCACAGCGAGGCAGGGCCTGTGCCCACCCGTCCCTGTCACCCCTTCCCACCCCCAGCACTGGGACCAGAAGTCTAGCCGCAGCCTCCCCACGGCCTTGCGGGCCTCCAGCCAGAGGAAGGACTTCATGGAGGTAGGAAGGCAACACGGGGCGGGGCGGGGTGGCTTCTCCCTTCAGCCTGACCCATGCTGGCCCCATCACTGAGCAACCTAGTGGCCACGCTGTCCCCGCCTGCATCTCTTTGTCTCTTGCTGTCTGTCCATTCTTCTCCTCCATCCCGTCTGCCCTGTGCTGTGATCCTCTGGATCTTCGCTGCGCTGTCTCTCTGGCAGTTCCTCTTCGTTTCCCTTGGTCTGTCTGCCTCCTGGTACCCCTCCTCTCTGGGTCTCTGGGTCAGGTCCCTGTGGCTCAGGATGGGACAGGGTTTTCCCCCTCCTCGGCCCCACGCCCACCTCCATGACCCCCTCCCACGGCAGCGCGCCCTGTACCAGTCCTCACACGTGGACGAGAACGACGTGCAGACGGTGTCGCACAAGTGCCTAGTGGTGGGCCTGGAGCAGTATGAGCAGATGGTCAAGACCAAGAAGTACCAGGACGGCGAGGGCCTGTACTACCTGGCGGGCACCTATGAGCCCACCACCGGCATGATCTTCTCCACGGACGGCGTGCCCGTGCTCTGCTGAGCATGCCCGGCCCTGCCGTGCACACCCGACCAGGTGTGCATGTGGACGCCCGGCGAGTGTGTACATGTGTGTGCCCGTATGCATGCACGCGTGTGCACATGTGCACACGACCCCTCGGCGCCCCCATGGGGTTAGGTATGGCTCGGGGTGGCCCTGGCCAGGACAGGTCCTGGCTTCCCTTGGGCACCCTGTTCACACTTGGCGGGACCCCACCCCTACTCCCTTACCCCTCCACCCCTGCCTGTGCAGACTGACGTGGTGGGGGGCAGACTTCTGAGGAATTGAACAGACATTCACAATGGGGTTCGTTCACCCTCTGCATGGAGCTTACCCCAGGGGCCCTCAGCATGGGTTGGGGGTCCCCCCAATGCCAGCCAGACTCAGTGACTATGCCAGGCATCCGGGCGCCTGCCATGCCCTTCTCCATGCTCTCAGGACAGCTTGGACTTGGGGAACAAGCCAGGGGGAGGGCAGCCCAGAAGTGTCACCCGGTGCCAGACCTTCACACTACAAGAACCCCCCTCCCCCCCAAATGGTGCTGAACCCTGCGCCCGGCCACGTCCAGCCCCTCCCACCAGAGGGGCGCTCTTACCTGTACAGTTTTATTGTACCAAGAGACTCACCCGTCCTTGTATCATACACCTTTAAATGGAGTCGACTTTTTAATTATATATATAAAGATAAATATATATAAATATATATAAACTTTTTAAAACTGTGAAAAAATAGCTATGAAATTATAAAAGAAAAAAAAAGCAAACACATTCTGACGTGCAGAATATTATTTTTTATTTCCTGTTAGATTGTGAGTGTCTAGCACCCGGCTTCACCGCCACCCTCAACCCTTAGCACCCTGCCCTGCCCATGTGTACTGTATGCACCCCGAGATGGAGAAAGGAGAGAGGGAAAGGGGAGCCCGAGCCCAGCCCCTGCTCGGCCCAAAAGCACTTAACTAGCCCTGCGCCTTCTGGACCCCGAAGGCGTCCAGCAGACAATCTAGAGGAAAGGAAAAGCCAGACTTTGGTTTTTTTTCTTTTTTGGGGGGGGGAGGGGACTATTGTTTGCGTTTTTTAAGTTTCTTTTCGAATTTTGTTTGTTGGCAAAAATTCTGTGTGATCTTTTTCATAAAAAAAAAAAAAAGATTTAATTGGAAAACTACTGTTGCTTGGCGTGATTTATTCCAGGTCCAGGGGTGGTTGGTTTCATTTTGGGCACGGCCAGCCATTTCAGGCACTTGGGGGCAGAGGTAGCCTGGGAGCCGAGTCCTGTGGCCCCTGTGTGTGTGACTTAAGTCAGAGTTTATTTTAAGTTTAGGACAATGAGGGCTGGGAATGTGGCTTAGTAGTAGAGTGCTTGCCTCGCATGTGATTCCTCAGTGCCACATAAACGAAAAAGCCGGAAGTGGTGCTGTGGCTCAAGTGGTAGAGGGCCAGCATTGGTCAAAAGAAGCTCTGGGACAGTGCCCAGGCCGAGTTCAAGCCCTAGAACTGCCTCCTCCCCCCCCCCCCAAAAAAAAAAGATACTGCTGTCAGGCTTTCCAGCGGCACAGCTCACATTTCAGGCGTGGTGTGTCCACAAACATAAAAGTGTATAGGTAAGATCACCCTCTCGCTCTGGCTGTATACATGATGCCCTGACTTCAAACTCCAGAATTGTAGGAAAATAAAAAAGACCAGAAAGGGTTCCACACACCTGTCCCATACCTGGGGTATCACACACACAGCCTGAGCGGGCCTGGGCCTGGCTGGGCTGGGATATCACACACACAGCCTGAGCGGGCCTGGGCCTGGCTGGCTGGGCAGAAGTCCTGCAGCTGGGAAGGGGCTTCAGTTCTGGCCCCCAATCTGGAGTTGGGGACCGGTGATGGCAAACTTAAGCCAACCCGGGCTTGTAGAAGAGGTCCAGGAAATCAAGCATTTGCTCAGAGCACTGAGTTGCAGAAAAAACACTCACAGCAGGGCCAGCCTACCTGCCCCAACCTGGAGGCTCAGTACACTGCTGCGCCTGGTGGTGGTCTCCAGCGTTGCCCTTGGTCTTGCCCCCACCCACCCCCTCAGGGTGATTGCTTCAGGCCCAGTCGCTCTCACACCTTCCAAAGGACAAATACCACAATCCTGCTGCTTGGGGATGCTTGAGGCTCAGAACGAGGCAGGAATCTGACCAGACTACACAAGTCATCCACACACAGCTGAAGGCTGAGGTTTCCAGGGCAGACACCGATCTGACCCACCCCCAATGAACCCTGCCCAGCCTTTGAGGCCCCCTCCCGCCCCCCAGGCTGCCCATGCTAACTGACCCACTAGCTGCTCTCAGAGATGTGGCCTGGTGCTGCAGAACCTCCACCCCCCCCACCCCATGTGGTAGGGCCCCCTACCATTTCCAGCCCCCCACAAACACTCCTGGAGAGACAGCGGCGGCGGGCAGTCTGTCTGCCGTCATCTTTAATGGCTAGTGCGCTAGGAGACACGCAGGTGGACAGGAGGCAGCACTGCTGGGGGTGGGGAGGGTGTTGGGGTCCCTTGGGAGGCTGTGTTTGGCAGGACACTGGGGAGCCAGCCTGGCTGTCCTGTGTCTGCAGGCCATCCCCACAGGGCAGACTTGAGGTGTCCCCTCTCCTGGACCACAAGTGGGTCCAGAGGAGCCAGAGGGGCCCCCACTGAGCCCTGCATCCCTCTGTGGGTAGATGGGGGTGACTGCAGCGTGGGGTGGACACTTGAAGCCAGTGTCCATACACCCTCCCCCCAGGGGCTGTTGCAGCTAGAGTAAATGGGACTAAGAACAGGATGCAGGGGGGCCCAAGAGTTGCCAGACTGAGGCCCCCCCCCCACCTTGCATCTCGAGCCAACCCTGGGGCACTCACATTGATGAAGGAGGCACTAAGCTTATGGTTGGCCGTCCTGGCTGGGGGCGGCTGAGTGCTGACCTGGCTAGGGCGAAAGCCACTGGACAGCGGGGGGGAGGAGGGGGCGTGAGACAGGACATGGGACACAGACCATGGGGGGGGGGGCGCACAGAGCCCCGCTCCAGGCCGGAGAGGATGGCTGGGCCCAGGCAGGTGCCATCACTGGCATATGAGGCCGGGGGTGTCCCCCGCAGGCACTGAGGCAGGGGCGGGAGGGGAGCCCCAGGCCTCGGGGAGGGGAGGCCCTCATCGAGCCCCGAGGCTCCCCCGCCAGGAGCTTCGGGCAGGTGCAGCGTTGGGCTCAGGGCCCGGTGGGGACGGAGCCGTTGGTGGTGTGGAAGCAGCTGCTGTGCGCTTCGCGGGTCAGACTGTAGGTGCAGTAGGCCACGGCAGAGCCCAGCGTCAACCCCGACATGTACGACACCGTCATGGTGTTCCCTGTGGACAAGACTGGCCTTAAGGTGGAGACCAGGGGTGGCCCCAGAATGCTCCAGCGCCCCTCCAGCAGTCAAGACGGACCCCAACACCAGCACATGCTCCCATCTCTGTGGAAGCCTTGTCCTGTCCTGGACCTACCTGGGCACTGGTGCTCACGGTGAGATCCCACCCTCCCCTGTTCCCACCCCTTCACCCCAGGAACACAAATATGCTCCTGGGCCTCAGGTGACCCCCTCCAACCTGAGGTGCACCCTTGGCATCCTCAACCACCCTCCAGCTCGTGGATCCCAAGTCACCTCCTCAGTGAGGCCTTCCGGGATTTTAGACTTTCATTCTATTGCTTCCATTTCTCAGATTCGTGTTTCCCTACCCCTATGGGAAGGTTTAAACTCAGTACCTCAGGCTTGCTTGTCTCTGCTCACTCAGCCACAACTTAACTCGAGCCTGGCATTTTGCTAGCTCATTGGAGACATACTCTTGCAGACTTTTCTGCCCAGACTGCCCTCAAAATGCAATCCTCTACATCTCAGCCTCCTGAGTAGCTAAGATTACAGGTGTGAACCACCAGCACCTAGCTGAAATAAGAGTGTCTGCATGAGATGGCTAACAGCTGTCTGCACATCTACAACCTTCCTGGTGTCAGCTTGATCCCCAGAACCAAATACACTTTGAAGCAGACTGCCCTCTGGCTTCTCCTGGCCTCAGTCCCTTCCCCCCCCCACACACCCCCACTGGGGGAAGACTGCACTGTGGGGGCAGCCGCCTTACCTGCCAGCTCCCGCTGCTTGGGGCTCACTTTGCCAGCTGCCAAGATCATGGGCACACTGCCGAAGTAGCCATTGCTAATGCCCATGAGCAGTGAGAAGACGCAGGGCCAGGCCGGGTGGCGGAGGGCTGGCATGCCGCTGGGGTACACGCACAGGATGAAGAGGGGGATGAAGACCACACGCAGGCAGGAGCAGGCCAGCAGGTGTGTGCCCCGCCAGTCCACAGGCAGAGCTGCCAGGATCTGCAGGGAGCCGGGCCTGTGGGTTCCCTGCCTGGCAGCCCAAATCTCATTATAACAGCCAGACTTGACCGCTGGCTAGGCAGGGGCTCTACTGTGTGAGTCACGGCCCCAGCCACAAACCACGCCCCAATAGGTAACCACGCCCCTGTCAGGTAAAGCCACACCCCCAGCCCATTTTGCTGTAATTTTTCAGATAGTCTCTCATGTTTGCCCACCTTGGCCTTGAACCACATTCATCCTTCCTATGGCTCTCACACTTGGCTGGGATTATAGTCATGAACCACCCCTACCCTTGCTAGGTGGAGCCTGGGCTTTCTTTGATTAATAAAGGCACCAAGGCCTGAGTCTCAATGCTTCAAGAAGCAGTAGAACATCAGGATTAGGATTCAGACCCAGGAACTCAGTCAGCCTTGCTGTCTCTGGTCACACTGACTCACTTCCTGGACCCCCTCAGCTGTGTGCCTCTGGGAAAATAGCTGCACCTCTCTGAGCCACATGCTCATCACCCATTAAGACAAGAACCATTCTGCATGAATCCTTGTACTAGATTCTTCTGGGCTTCTGGCTCCAGCCTTGTCTGCCCAGGCAGCAGAGGATGTGTTGTCCACTTAGCCATTTCAGGGTGCTCCCCAACTCACTCTGCTCCCGGTCTCTCTGTTGGCCCACATCAACCCAGGGAGCCATGACGCTGAAAAAGGGGCGGGGGGGGGCTGAACCTGGCAGATGCAGGTCTGGGGACCAGGCCTGGGGACAGTTCCATGGCCTGGCTGCCACTCTCTCCACGGGGGACCTGCATGTGTGCTCAGCCTGGGTGGTTCAAGGCCTCCCCGGGGCGGCTCACCTTGCCCACGAAGTCAGACAGGTTGAACACAGCCATGACCAGGATGGGCAGCCACTCGCCCAGCACGCAGTGGCGGATCTCGGACTCCAGGCCGGGGAAGAGGCACAGCGTGATGAAGTAGGTCACGGCGATGGATAGCATGTCAGCCCAGATGACCCGTGCCACCACGTACCGGTGCAACAGCAGGGCTGGGGGGCGGGGGCAAAGGGGGGAGGGGGACGTGTGGGTGGGTCAGAGGGCAGAGTCTGTGGGGGAGGGCCATGCCCAGGGTTCCCCTCACCTCTGAAGGTGGGCCAGCTGCGCTTGGCTCGGGGCCGGGGCACATCAAAACGCACGTAGGCTCCACTGCTGCCCCCTGATGGCTCATGGGCTGGGCTGTCCTTTGGGGACCCACTGGTGGTCAGGGCTGGGGCTTGGTGTTCCTGGAGAGAGGGACAGAAAGGAGCCAAGTTTGGTGGTGGGATGGATGGGGGGCAAGGCCCAGCATCCCAAGCCCAGGAGAAGAACAGCACATTGAGGTTGGCACACAACTGGCGCCTACTATGTGCAGACACCTTCTCCATCCTTATCAAGATTTCACGCCTGTCATCCTAGCTACTCAAGAGGGTGGCATCTGAGGATCACGGTAAAGAGCCAGCCCAGGCAGGAAAATTGGTGAGACTCATCTCCAATAAACTACTTAGAAAAAGCGGCAGAGCGCTAGCCTTCAGAAAACGAATCCCAGGAACAGCACCCAGGCCCAGAGTTCAAGCTCCAGGACTGGAAAAACAAAAATGAAACTTCTGAGACAGCCCATTCCATCTGGTGACCCCCATCCTGCTTCACGCCCCACTAAGCACCGGCCACTCAAACTGCCTCCTTCCAGCACCCTGCTCCCCAGCTGTCCCTACACTACTCCAGCCCCTAAGCTTTGCATTCATATTTCTTCCACCCATGCTGTCTGTGTCTTCCCCTCCAGGTGACCATCACAGGTTCACTGCGCTGATAGGGACACCTGTCCTGGCTCCCTCCACAAGCTCAAGTGCTTCTGCTCTTCAGGTACCCTTAGGGCCCTGGGGGGGGTGGGGGAACCATTCAGTCTGCTGCCACCAGAGGGCGCCCCAGCCCGTCCTGAGGAAGCTAAGCCTTGTTCCGTCGGTCCCGACCCACCCCATGGAGGGAGGAGCAAATAGCAAGGCCACCCCCAGGCAGAGTTGTCTGCGGAGGACCCTCCAGGTGAGCTCTGACCCTGCAAGGGAGGAGTCACAGGATGGATCCTGGTTTCCTGGCTGGCTGTGATGTCTGGTCTGATGGACCGTCCACATCCCTGAGCCCAGCCGGGCTGTCCCAACAAGATGGGAACTTTACCTACAGGACCTGGGGAGTTCTGCAGCGGGCAGGAGCCTGTGGTGGGACCCAGCGGCCCGGGCACACTCACCAAGTGGACGTCCCCGGTGACCACGTCGTGGTGCACACGGTAGCCAGCCCGGGCACGACGGCTGTCCCTCGGCCTCGACGTGTGGTAGAGCACGAAGCGGCTCCGCCGCACCAGCAGGTGCAGCAGGAAGCAGAGCAGCTCCAGACCCACCGAAACCAGGAAGAAGATGAGCGTGCTGGCGCGCTCGTCCGACAGCAGCAGCTTGGTGAGGATGCGGCTCAGGGAGATCATCACCCCCGCCGTGCCTGGGGGCGGCACGGGGCCCAGGGCAAAAAGGGCCTCAGGCCTCGCTCTGCCCTGCCCATGAGCGGACCCTTTTTATCCCGCCCAATGCCCCAGCCCCCAGCATGTCCAATGTCCCCCTCCTCCCAGGCCCCGCCCCTCCAGCATGTCCAATGCCTCAGCCCCGCCTCCCCAGGCCCCGCCCCCCCAACATGTCCAATACCCCATCTTCCCAGGCCCCGCCCCCTCCAGCATGTCCAATGTCTCAGCCCCGTCTCCCAAGGCCCCGCCCCCTCCAGCATGTCCAGTGCCCCACCTCCTTCCAGGCCCCGCCCACCGGCCTGTAAAATGCTTCACTTCCACCAGGCTCTGCCCACCTCAGCATGCCCAATGCCCCCCATTCCCCAGACTCACCTCATCCAGCCCTATGCAGATTCATCTTGTCCCTCCAGCCCTCCCCGCTCCCCAAGGATCCTGCCTCAAGGATCCTGCCTTTGCTCCTTCCTGCCTCAGACCCCTCAGCTCTCCCACTCCAGCCACACATCTGGTCTCCCCAACTCCAGACTTTCTGGCCTCCCTGGTCTTCTCATCCACCCTCCAAGAGCTGCCCTCAGGGCTGTGCACACACATACAGCCCCGGCTCCCACCACAGTCTGCTGAGCACCCAGCATCATCTTACCCAAAGGACCCAGTAGGGATCTAGGCACCTGGGGCTTAGTGGGGGAGGGGGGGAAACTGAGGAAGAAAGGTATAGGATGCAAGCTGGGGCAGAGGAGCTGCCAGGGAGCTGGTAGGAGCCATGTGCCCCAGTTCCAGGTGCTGGCAGGGAGCAAGGAGACTGGTCCGGAAGGCTGCAGTCAGTAGGTGGAGTTTTATATAAATTCAGCCACTAGGTAGCAGGGAACAGGACCAGGTTACAGACCCTGGGGGAGGTGGGGCGGGGAGCAGGGCTCTGAACAAATCTTTCTTTCTTTTTTTTTTGGGGGGGGTCTGGTCGTGGGGCCTGAACTCGGCCTGAGCGTTGTCCCTCAGCTCTTCAGCTCAAGGCTAGCGCTCTACCACTTGAGTCACAGCGCCACCTCCAGCTTTTTTTCTTTTTGCTTATGTGGTGCTGAGGAATGGAACCCAGGGCCTCATGCATGCAAGGCAAGCGCTCTACCACTGAGCCACCTTCCCAGCCCTGAACAAATCTTTCTTGAGAGGTTCTGGCTATATAACCCCTCACCCCAAATCAGCATGCTAGAACCATCTTGGAGGGTCAGCTTCACTCATTCCCACAAAATCTACCAGCAAAATGACCAGTGGAGCCTCCAGGAACCATAACCCTGTCATTCATTGCTCTATGGACATCTGGTTGACCTTAGCACTAAGCTGTAGAATGTGGCAAAAGGGGAACAAAGGATAGCTACCCATGCCAGCCCTGGCTTGGGTCCACTTCCAGCCTGGCACTTCTGAGCATGGGGCCTTGATGTCTTCTTGGGCTAAGAAACAGGGTGGGAGGATAAGAGGCCAGGAGCTGGAGCAAAAGGGACAGACTAGGGAGTCTGAAGGTCCACAGGACATGGAGGAGGCCTATCTGGATTGCTGGGAAATTTTAGAACAGGGGGTGGGGGTGGTTGAGTGAAGAGAACTGTTCAGGAAGGGGTGACTGAGAGGTGGCCTCGTGGCGTGGGAGAAGTGGGCTGGAGAGGCCTTCCTCAAGCGTGTGTGTGTGTGTGTGTGTGTGTGTGTGTGTGTGTACACCAAGCAGGAGAGTCTGATGACGTTATAGGTGTGTATATGTCCCCAACAGACACACATAGACACTGTACACCACACCAGCCTCCTAGGCCACCATGACATTCCTGGGACACACATGGTCCTCACCCCCCAAAATGGCCCACACTTGTCTCTTGGATCTGAGAGTCCACCCAGGGGCAGAGGGAGTTCCCCAGGCCTATGTGCCCAGCACTGTGTCTGTGCATGGCACATCACGGCGGAGTCCCCAGCCCACAGCAGCTGTGGATCCCTCGGGGGCCTCAATACTCACTCTCCCCGGTCATCACTCCCTGCGTGTACCTCTTGGGCAGCAACCCCGTGTACCCATAGAAGCTTGATTGCTGCACTTAAGAGAGAGGAGGGAAACTGTGAGACACCATTTATCATCTGTCCATCAGCAAAAAAAAACCCAGATATTGAGGCTGATGCTTTAATGGCCCTGAGGTTGGACAAACCTGACCGGCCTGTCCCTTGAATGGTGACCACACCTATAATCACCCAGGCACTCAGGAGGCTAAAGCGGAAGGATCTTGAGTTCAAGGCCAGCCTGGGCTACATCAGGAGAACTATCCACCAAGCCAAGAGTAATGAGGTGGGACAGACCGGGCCTTGAAGGCTGACAGATCTGAGCTCAGGATGCTGCTTCCACTTAATGTGCACTGGGTCTCTGGCTACCCTGTGTGCTCCCCTCCCCTCCCTACCTGTACAGCCGAAGGCCACGGTGCCCACGGCAGCCAGATTGATGGCGTAGGCCTGGTCGTGAGAGAAGAGCTGAAGCCACACATCACAGATGCTGATAAAGAGCAGAGGCCCCAAGGCTAGGAGGTAGCCTGTGGGAAGATGCTGTGAGGGGTCAGGGTAGTCTTGGGGGACTCCTGATCGCCCCCCCCCGCCAACCACTCGTGCAGTCAGGTCTCTGTCTAGGGTTCTCTCTGCCCTTCCCCTTTTATCTGGGCAAACCAGGGCCCCCCCCCCCGAAGGTCTAGGGAACAATCTGGAGGGCTTCCTAGAGGAGGGGGCTTTGTAGTGGAGTTCACCACAAACAGCACCCTGGGCAAAGGAAGCCGGGGAGTAACATGGAGTCACATGATACTGGCATGTAGGGGATCCTTCTATCCTCCCAATGTAGAAGCCATGATACTCCTAGGAAATATGTCCTTCCCCCCCCACCTTTTTTTTTAACAGGCATGGAGGGTAAGACTGGGAAACTCGAAGCCAAGAGGTGCTGTTTACAGGCAGCCTGACATACCTGTGGTGATCCTCGTGTGCAGACTCAGCCCCTCCACCACCACATTGTTCAGAAGCACGGCTGCCAGTGCCACCAGGATGTAGGTGAGGCTCATGTCAAACACGATGGAGGTCCCTGGGGCGCCAAGGAGCAGGTGTCAGAGCCCCTACCTCTAGGCCATCTCTGCAGGAGCTCCCCTTTCCCTCCCCCAAGGGGCTGCTGCCCAGAGCATCTTTGTGTGTGTGTGTGTGTGTGTGATGGTCCTGAGGCTTGAACTCAGGGCCTGAGCTCTATCCCTTAGACATTTTTACTCAAAGCTGGCACAGCTCTACCCCTTGAACCACAGCTCTAATTCTAATTCTGTTTTTTGTTTGTTTTGGTGCTTAACTGGAGATAAAAGTCTGACTTCTCTCAATATTCAATTCTTGAGTATTTCAAACCTTGATCCTCAGATCTCAGCTTCCTAAGTAGTTAGGATTACAGCTGTGAGCCATTGGTGCCTGGCAAGAGTATTTGTACTTTTCTGGTCTTTTCCTTTCTCTTTTCTTTTCTTCTCCTTCCTTCCTTCTGTCCTTCCTTCCTCTCTCCTTCCATCCCTCCCCCCTCTTCCTCTCTTTTTCTTCTTTCTTTGTACTGGGGATGGAACCCAGGGCCTTTTGCCTTTGAGACCTCAGGCTCTACTGTTTAAGCCAAACCCCCATTTTTCAGTGCTTTTTTTTTAAAAATAAATTACCATACATTATACGGGGAGGAAATTTCATTGTGACATTTCCAAAAATAATTTTAGGAGTTTTCATTGTTCTATTTCTCTTTTCTTTTCTCTTCTTTTTTTTTTTCTGGTTCTAGGGCTCAAACTCTGGGCCTAGGTACTGTCCCTGAGCTTCTTTTGCTCAAGGCTAGTGCTCTGCCCCTTGAACCACAGTGCCACTTCTGGCTTTTTCTGAGTTTACTGGAGATAAGAGTCTTACAGACTTTCCTGCCTAGGCTGGCTTTGACCCACAATCCTTTGATCCCAGCCTCCTGAGTAGCTAGGATTACAGGCGTGAGCCACCCACGCCTGGCTCATTGTTTACTTTCAGTACAGGCCAACATTCCATCTTCATTTTTCCCTATTGGTGAGCCCCACCAGCCCCTTAACACCCACTCCTTCAAAGGGCCTGTTTCTCTTTCCCAATCCCCAACACTCTATGGATCCACAACTTTCTTTGAGATTCTTTATGTTGTTTTCATTCATAGTTACAATGCATTTCAAAATTAGGATGCTTTTGACACAGTCTTGCTAATTTTCTCTGGGCTGGTCTCAAACTTATGATTCTCCTATGCAAGGATGACAGGTGTGGGCCATAGCCCCTGACTAAGGAAGGAGTGGATGTGTGTGTAAGAAGAGTTCCATGCCTGGGTTTGGGCATGGGCAGAATGTGCTAGGGGCCCACCTGGGTACTTGTGGTGCAGATAATCAACATCGGTGATGAAACTGTTGTAGGGCAACAGGAAACCTACACCAGCCAGCAGCATGGCGAAGTAGATGGCATGGTAGCGATCCTCTGGCACTGGTTCTTCCACCACTAAACCAAGACACCAGGAGAGAGATGGCCACTCAGGCCACGGCCGTGGTACCCCATAGCCAGTGTCCATCATGAGGTTCACAGCTGCCTGTATGACTGTCTTGTGCCAGAACTGGGACTTGAACTCAGGGACTTCCACTCTTATTTGGTTTTTTTCCTCTTAAGTCTGGTGTTCTACCACTTGAACCACATAGTTCCACTTCTAGCGTTTTATTGGTTAGTTGGAGATAAGAGTTGGGGATTTGGGGGGGCTGGGAAGGTGGCTCAGGGGTAGAGTGCTTGCCTCTCATGCATGAGGCCCTGGGTTCGATTCCTCAGCACCACATAAACAGAAAAGGCTGGAAGAAAAAAAGAAAGAAAGAAAAAAAAAATAAAAGGCTGGAAGAGGCACTATGGCGCTAGCCTTGAACTGAAGAGCTCAGGGACAGCACCCAGGCCCAGAGTTCAAGCCCCACAACCAACCAAAAAAAAAAAAGAGAGAGAGAGAGAGAGTAGGGAATTTTTTTTTCTTGGACTGGCTTTGAACTTTGATCCTTAGACTCAGCTTTCTAAGTAGCTAGGATTACAGGCATAGACAACTGGTTCCTGGGATAAACTTCCTTCCTTCCTTTCTTTTTCTTTTCTTTCTTTCTTTTTTTTTTTGGTCAGTCACAGGGCTTGAACTCTGGGCCTGGGCGCTGTCCCTCAGCTCTTCAGCTCAAGGCAAGTGCTCTACCACTTGGGCCACAGCACCACTTCTGGTTTTCTGGTGGCTTGCCACTTCTGGTTTTCTGGTGGCTTATCGGAGATAAGAGTCTCATGGACTCTCCCGCCCAGGCTGGCTTTGAACCATGATCCTCATATCTCAGCCTCCTGAGTAGATAAGATTACAGGCTTGAGCCACCAGTGCCCAGCTTGGATATATATGTATATATATATATATATATATGTATCTATATATATATATGTATCTATCTATATATATGTATCTATATATATATAGATGTATATAGGGTTATAAGAAATTGGCTTATCAGCGGGTGCCAGTGTCTTACACCTGTAATCCTAGCTACTCAAGAGGCTGACATCTGAGAATTGCAGTTCAAAGCCATCCCAGGGAGAAAAGTCCCCAAGAGACTTATCTCCAATTAACAACTCAAAAACCAGAAGTGGTGCTGTGGCTCAAGTAGTGGACTTAAGCAAAAAGAGACGCAGGGACAGTGCTCGGGCCTTGAGTTCAAGCCCTATAACCCACCAAAAATAAACAAAACAAAACACCCTATAACCCTATCTATCTATCCATCCATCCATCCATCCTTCTATCTATCTATATCCATCTATCTATCTGTTGATTTTGTCTCTCTAGTTGAACCTGTCTGATCCAGTCACCCTCACCCTGGCAATCACAGTTAAAATCACTGCTACTCCTGTGGTCTGGGATGACCTCTTGCTGCCCCTGAAGGCCTCATGGCTTAACCTAACTCCATCCCTCCTCTACCTGGGAGCAGAGACTCATCCTAACCCAATGTGGGGCTTGATCTGCACAACCTCTACTGTCCATGTACAAAGATGGGGACCCCTGCAAACGAGCTTGCTGGTTCCCCGTACACGCCCCTCTCACCTCCCCAGAGACAGGGAAGCGCAGGTGAAGACACAGCCTCCATAGCCCAGACCCATGAATGCGGATGGCGACCAGCATGGGGTCAGGCCCTGCACTGGACCTGTGTGTCACTACAGAAGGCAAGACCCATCCTGATGGGCTCTGCACAGCTGCATTGCCGTCCTGAGGCCCCACTGCTCCCCTCGGGTTGACTGGAGCCTTCTGGCCAGTCCCGGCTCCGGGATACTCACCCAGCAGGTCCATCCCCCACTCACCTGAATCCATGAATGTGGACACACCCCTGGCCCTGACGCCCTGGTCCTGAGCGGCCTCTGCTGCAGTGGCCTCCAGCTGGAAGCTGTCAAAGCTGAAGCTGGTCACCACACTCCGGTCAGGTGTGGCCAACTCATGGGGCTCCTTGAGGCGCTGGCTCCCTATGGAGCCCATGGCAACCCACGCTCTAGGGAAAAAAGAGGCGGGTGAGGAGGCCAGACAAGGGGACATGTCAACCCCTGGCCAAGTGTCTTCCCCTTTTGATATTCTTTACAAGGGGTGATGGCAGTTTGCTCATTGCTATGCAAATGGGGTGGGAAGTATAGCCCCAGGAGCCACGGTGGGTGGCCAGCATGGAAATGGTGACCTTGGGCAGAGGCAACACAGACTTGGTGAGCAATGAGAAACAGGTTTTATTATGAAGCACAAGGAAATGAATGTATACCTGCATCTCTGTGAGGAAGCGGCAGGTTTTCATTCATTTTCCAGTCAAAGACAATGGGGGTTTTGGAGTGATTTTGTCCCACCTTGGTCTCCCAGGTAGAAAGTAGTGGAGCCCCCTCATCCCAACCCAAGTCTGTGTGAGACTCGGCCATGATGGCCCTCAGTTCTGGGGCCAAATACTAAGAGTTCAGTGATCTATATTGGAGAGACCCCACTGTAGGGGTTACCCTCTGCCTGAATGGGGAGGGCTCTACCTTCACCTCTTAAAACTTATTTTTCAGTCATGCTGGGTACTGGTGGGCCACACTTGTAATCCTAGCTACTCAGGAGGCTGAGATCTGAGGATCTGCCAACTCTGACAGGAAAATCTGTGAGAGTCTTTTTTGTTGTTGTTGGTCATGGGGCTTGAACTTTGGCCTGGGCACTGTCCCTCAGCTCTTCAGCTCAAGGCAAGCGCTCTACCACTTGAGCCACAGCACCACTTCCGATTTTCTGGTGGTTAATTGGACATAAGAGTCTCACAGACTTTCCTGCCCAATCTGGCTTTGAACCGTGATCCTCAGATCTCAGCCTCCTGAGTAGCTAGGATTACAGGCTTGAGCCACCAGTGCCTGGCAATCTATGAGACTCTTATCTCTAGTGAATCACCAAAAAGCTGAAAGTGGAGGTGTGGCTCAAGTGGTAGAGGGCTAGCCTTGAGCACAAAAGCTCAGGGATGGAATGTAGGCCCTGAGTTCAAGCTCCAGGACTGGCACGCACGCACACACGTGCACACACACACACACACACACACACACACACAGACCTGTCTTGGATTTAACTGATGGTGGCCACATACCCCTGTCTTCAGCCTAGTGGGGACCCTCATTTGGGTGCCTCTGCTATGCTCTACACTGGTCCCCTCCTTGGACATGAAAGATGAGTGAAGAGGATAGTGGTAAGATGGAGCTCAGCCCTGGACGGTGTCCGAACCCCAAGTGGGCTGGCTTGTGTTTAGCAAGGGCTCTAAGATGAAGCCCCAGACACAGAATTCCGGCGGTGTTTGGCCAGCACGAGAGCTTTCCGCCTCGCTGGGGCCTCGCCATCCGGGAAGGCAAACGTGCTCTGCATCCAGCCAGGTGGCCCCACCGCTCTCTCTGGCTTGGCTGGTGTGGCGGGTGGATGCCACACACACTGCCCGCCTTGCACACTGTCCCCATGGCCCTCCCCTCTCTGCTCCCCTCCCCTGATGCCTCACACTCCTTATCAGGGTCCCAGAATCTCGGATCTCCCTTCTCCCGTGTCTCTTTTAATTGAAACGTAAGCATATGCAGACAAGCTATATAAAAAAAAAAAAACCATTTTAAAATAGATTATTTCTGTTCTCCTACTCCAGGCTGTTGGACCCCTAGGGGCTGGCTGTAAGAGCAGCTGAGATGACACAGGTCATTTCTCTGATCTTCTGCCTGGGTCTCAGTTTCCCCACCTCACCTTTCACAGATGGGGAAGGCTTGAGTGACTGGTAGAAAAGATGTGGCTGCCGCTCAGGGAGCACCAGGTGGGCTGTAGGGGTGGGTGGGGGGAGGGCTGACCCTCAGCACCCTTGAAAAGCAGGGCTCTAAACTCTAATTTGCGCAAGACAGGACTGAAGCCCAGAGAGGCCAAGTCCAGATTAGGAGGCTCAATCTGGTGCCTGTCTGACCACCTCAGCCCCTGCCATTGGGGGGGGGTGTCCTGACCCCTGGGCAGTATAGGGGTGCATCAGGAACCCAATGCCACCTGGCCTCCCTCCCAAGCTGTGCTCCACATCCAAAGGGAACAAGGGAAATCGAGTTCCGCTTTCCAAGTGGACCAGCCTGCTGGTCCTCCCCAGGCCTTGAACTTCTGAAGACCGGCGGAGCTGAATGCCCTTGGGTCCTGGGGAGACGGAGGCAGGGAGGCAGCCGCCTTAGGGCTTCTCCTTGCTCATTCCACAGCCCAGCTTCCCAGGTGCTTGGCTCCACGGCTTCGGAAATGTGGGCTTTAAATCCCTTGGGGCACCGCCTTTCCCGGACACCCAGGGGACAGACAAAGGCAGTGCCCTGGGCCACGGGCTGGACCAGGGCCTGCGATGCCGGACCGGGTGGGGGTGGCCCAGGCTCCCCGCCCTCCCTCCCCCGGGTCCCTGTGTGTTCCTGGAGCATCCCGCAGCCCCTTGGCTCCTGCTAGCGGCCCCAGGAGCAGCAAAGTTGGACCCCCTCCCCCGGGGCCGTGACCTCAGGCAAAACGGGGGGGGGACCCCGGGGCGATCACGAGGTGACCTCTGGGCCCAGGTCTCGCCACTCCTAGCAGTTTCCCCAAGAACTAGGGGAAGAGAGCTGGCTGGGGCGAGGGGAGGGGGGGGACAGACGGGCAGAGGGGGTCCAAGAGGAACTTCGGGTGAGAGACCCCTTGGGGTGCGCCGAGGGGAGAAGGTGGCGCCAAGATGGGCTGGGCCGGAGCCCCGGGCGCCGGTCCCCTCCCCGGACCCGCGCCCGGCGC